AGAAACACTTCACTAGTGGTCACACCTCAAGCTAGTGTGGGTATCATGCCATTTGTCGACGGACGATACATGTATGCAACTGGTGATGAATTTGTGCAGAACGAGGCCTATATTGCTCCAACACCCGGCCTTGTGTCCATTATCAGTAACTCACTTCACACAAAGCCAAGGAAAGACGCAGATATTGCAACAACCAGTCCTGATTTAGATCATTGGGGTTGGTCTGCAGATTTCGATTCCTTCAATAATATCCTCCTGGATGGAGGAGGTATGGATTTCACAATGCTTGACTCGATCGATGGAGGTATGGAATTCCTGACCCAATAAGGGAAATTACATGCCCGATGGATGAAAATTAGCAACCGTGCTATCATTGATGATCGAGGCAAGCTGGTGTCTTGCTAGCCGTATCAGACCTCTGCCTCTGCCATCGACAAGTTTTGATACAGCAATAACTGGTGCTACTCCTAGACCTTCTCTTCTATCTGATGCTCAATCCTCTCGCCGTGGCATCGCATCGTGAGCAATGGAATTCCACCGGCTAGTATTTCGATGAATTCTCGTTCATTAAGCACGAGAATGTCGCCTACACTGAGGGTCCGAGGCTGGATAGACGATCGACGCTGCTCAGTCATCCTCCAGGTCACCACACGCCGTGGTTGGCCGAGGGTCTGGAGAATTTTGTGTTGTCTGTCGCGCAGTTTCTGTGGTGGCCTAGATTCTAGAGGTGCAATATCTTCTGATGGTTCTGATGGTTTGTTGTTGCGCCGTGGTTGTTCGTGTGTCCTACAAGGCTCTGAGGCACCAACATTTGCGTCTTCACCAGTCGCTTGAGGCGACGGGGTTTCGGTAGCAATATCGCCATCATTGAGATTTGGACCCGTACTGGCAACCTCTTTTGGTGTCTCGGAAACTGGATTCTTCAAGGGTAGAGATTCCAAAACGATTGATACTCCAACTTGATTCTTGCCGGGCCACATCATCCCCCCCTTTTCGATACAAATGATATGCGCCGGGCTCCCGCGGCTTAAGCCTGATAGGCCGTCACTTTCGGCCGCCCGAGAAATTCTTGGAAACTTTGATGCCACATTAGCTAGTTTTCTTGAAATATGTTCGTTAGCGTACCAACTCCGTATAGTAGTGATCAAGTAGTGCAGTCTCTTCCGGGCTGGGTGAAGACGATGTCATCCATATCTGTCGTTCTGGTACAGGGCGCATGTCTTCGATGGGGATAGGAACTTTGACGGCGAGCTCCCGAAGTTCATGTGAGGCCTCGATGATGTACATGTTGTGAACAGGACAGGAAAAATTTAAGCGTGGATTAACCTCGAAGTGAAATTGAGGGAATAAACATCACCTTATATAATGAGCAGATTTGCATGTGTGTTATATTCTAGAACGATGTACCAGATCTACTTGTTGATTCGGTACTCTCTTGTCCACCACCAGAACTTTTCATCGATGATTAAAGCTTGAGGCAAGGGAGATTGATGTTCGCGGGGTAAATGGTGAATATAACTATCACGTGAGTGTGGTCACCCGCCAAGACGATACATAAAAATATCCTGCTGCTTTTAGGCGTAATGCCAGCCTTGCCGACTATTCCGCTTCAACCTCACACCCAACTAAATTCATATCATGTAAATCACAAAGCCTAGGATCTCCTATGTTCAACACCTTGTTGCGAAGGATCCACAAATCCCTTGTGAAGAGGTGTATTCTCTTTCTCGGACAAACCCATATACTACTAGCTTTGGTCAACAATGGTTTCCTAGAGGAGAATGGATGATTACTTCACTTGCGATCTCCTCGATGCTCCCCCAAGAAATCCATACCACCCCCTGTTATTTGGTGATTTCCCTCGGACTCTCTGTTACACTCCCTGGCAGATTGTTCCGTGTGTGACTGGTCGCCATTCACTTTCGGGCGAACATTTGTTGCTTGTCCAGGTTGCCTAGGAGGACTTTTAGGAGGATTAGTCTGATTACTTGACATTTCAACCAAGGATTCAAAGAATAGTGAGACAGGAAAGGCTGGGTAGAAGAGGGGTGAACGGAATCTAGAGGTACGTTCAGGATGGGGGAAGTGGACGATCTTATACTTGTCGACGGAGCTAATTGTGAGTCCTCTTTTGTTGTCTCATCTCCTTCTCCATTGTGCGCCTCTGGTGTCCTTCTTGACCAATACGATCCCATGTCGATGACCTTAACCCTAGCTTCAGATTGATTCGTAGCGTTTGTTTGGACAACGCCAAACACGAATAGATCACCATGGGTCTACATCAATCCACGATATTACAGGTACTGGCTCAGGTCGACCAACGCGGCATGATCTGCGAGAGCTTGACCTGGAACGACCGCATTGGAGAAACTCATCCCTTGTCAGTGAGGCTTGCATCCGTTCGCTCTTTGATGCACGTTTATCAGAATGGGTACGATGGCTCAGCATAATGGTGGCCAACGGAACGCGATGAACATAGGCCAAGACCCATGCATCAATATTTATTTTCCAGCTGAGACCATGTATTGTATCCTTGTTCGACTAAAAGGATATCTTTCCGGCAGCCACCTGGCCAGGCTAGTACAGACCGACGTGCAATCTACACGTTTACTATTGGAGAGGTACTACATGTACAGTCCCTAGTTCGAAGCTCGAAGAAGTTACCTAGCGAATCCGTTGTTCAGTACGCCTGCATCCCAAGGCTTCTGGGACGCGAGTCCGGACGGACGTATACTGGTCGAAGGGGCCGACTGTAAGGTTGCTCTCCGCTCCCCATTTCCATTGTTTGCTTCTTGTTGCTCTTCTCGACCAAAACGAGAGCCTGTCATCGGCCATGATGCTGGCTTCATCTTTTCCCCTCGCGTTGCATGTATATCGCTTATTCAATAGACCACTCGTTAGTAGTGGGTCTCTGCCAAATGACAAAGTACAGGTACCAATTGATATCGATCGATATGGCATAATCCTTGCGAGAGGTCAACCTGGAACGATCGTATTGGAGGAACCGTTCCGTTCGTCGGTAAGGCTTGTATCCGTTCGTTCTTTGATGTACATTTATTAGAACGGGTACGATGGCGGAGCGAATGGTGGCCATCAGAACGCAATGAACGTAGGCCGAGACCCATGCATCAATACTTTGTTTCTGGCTGAGAACTTGTATTATCTCCTTTTTCGACTGAAGGAATACCTTTTCTGCAGCCACCTGGCCATGCTAGTACGAACCCGCGCTGCACGTCGAAAATCTGCACGTTTACTATTGGAGAGGTACTAAATTTTCGGTCCCTGGTTCGAAATTCCACAGGGCTACAAGGTTTCTGAGGTCCAAGCCCTATCGTGATATGATATGTTCGGTTAGTTGAGCGCAAGAAAAATGAGCTACAGTCTTACGACTTCATCATCGGTTATGAATTACCCGCCTCGCCAACTCCCATTAATAAAAGATGGCTAGCAAATTCTGGACGGATACTAACAGGGTTCAAGTCGCTCATGATCGAAAATACATACTAATATGCTCACCAAAGTTGAAAAATGAACATCCACTTTCGCTGCCCAAGTCCTGTACACAGTCAATGCTTCAGGGATTTGCGCTTTGCTCCCCAGACTATTTCATCGATGCTATAAAAAAGAAATGGACGCCTACGCAGGTTCGAGAAGCGTCACGACTCGACAAAGATTGAGCTCGCATTGCGTATCTGCTGCACTGTTGCCTCCGGGGTGGTTCCATCAGACAACCTCAAGGTTAGGATCATTAGAACGAAGCCAAGGTCTGCCTCTGTAACTCACGTTGATTTGGCTTGCATGCCTTTATACCAAGGGGTACCCCTGCTGAAATCGATAAAACGCCCTGCACTGAGATTGAACAGAGAGGGTTCTCTCGTTGACATCGAATTCCATGCGCATGAATTGCCTATGGAAAGATGCCTGGGTTTAGGGAAAATTAGCACAATGCAGCTAGACCTTCTTCGTATTTCCAATAATCGATAAGACTGAGACAGTTGGCTAGGCCGGTCATTGCTCGACCAAAGGGTGCCTCTCCGATAGCCACATAGACTGACTAGTTTAGACCAGCGAGAGCGCAGACGACTTAAAGCCTGAGTATTGACTTATGAAGAAGTCAAATATATACCGGCCGATTTTGCAGCCCCACCTGGCGAAATCTGATATCTCGCCATGCATAATACAATTAGTGCGGCTCCACGTGTGCAATAATATCTAGCTTTGTCTAGAATGAGGGCCATGTATGGGTCACCAACGGCGTGGTCGTTCAGAAAAGGCTATCTTTCTGCAGATTCATATATGACAACGTAACCTTGTCCACGAGTCTACTCCCATTTTGGTCGTGGCCAATTCCATCTCAAAATGCATGTTCCTTAAGGGGTACAAATTGAGGGGATGCGGATTGAGATGGTGCGGATTGAGATGGTGCGGATTGAGATGGTGCGGATTGAGATGGTGCGGAT